GATTTTACTTATGAGAGATTGAGGGATAGTATCTTTGGTTTATTTGAATTGGTTTGGAGTTATGTCTATAGGAGTAGCAAAGCCAGAAGTTAGAGAAAATGGTATCATAGATCTTGGAGGAAGTTGGTAATGGCAAGAAGTAAATAAGATATAATATGTTTTACAAAGATATAAAACAACAGAAGGTTGATGAAGTACTTTAAAATAGTGAATCTTGTTTTTTTTATTGCATTGGTTGAATGCATAGCAAATTAAATAGATTTAATTTAATGTAGATTATTTTCTTTAGCCATGGCACCAAAGTGGTCACCATATTTAGCCAAAAAGTAATCTAAATCATATTGATCTGAATCTTGATTAATTAATGTAGGCATGGTTGCTTTAAAAATGAAAACAAATTTGATATTAGGATTTTTGAGTCCGATAGGATGTCAATGATATAGAATATGACAAATAAAAGGGGGTGACAAATAAGGAATGTGATAAATAAGGGATATGACAATTAGAGAGATGTGACAAACACAGAATGTGACAAATAGAAAGGTATCACAAAAAGTATATAACACTTTGCAGATCTATTTGTAAGTCAAAATTGACATTGAACAAAAAAGTTGTGTAGAATTGTAAAAGTACAAAATTTTAATTAATAAATTGTGTAATATTGATTAATAATCCTGTTTTGGGTGAGTTTGAATGAGGTAGACCAGAAGCAACCCCTCAAAAATATAAAAAATTTGTAAAAAATAAAAGAACATTTTGTAAGAAAGTTTAAGTGTATTTTGCCAATAAGTTGATTAGTTTTAGGCTGTTTTTGATAAATTTTATATCAAAATGAAGCTATGAATGAGCTCTTTCCTTTTGTTCTAAGATATAAGAGTTGTTTAATTAGTAAAATTTAAGATAACTTGAATAGAAGTTTTTTTATATTTAATAAAAATATCTCAGTGAATAAGAGGTCCAAAGATATATAACTAGGTGTCCTAAATGTAAAATTATGTCAGAAATAACTTTACTTAGATGTTCAAAGGTAGTTTACTTAATAAAATATTGAATAATAATCAAATGTTTGCAGCAGAATTTGGTACAAGTGATTGTTGGAAAGAGTTAATGATTTGTATCCATTACCAAACAAGATTTTATATATTAATAAATATATTTATTTATAAAATTTTATAAAAATAAATCTAATGGTATATAATGACTTAGTAAAATTAATAAATTATCAATTTCTCAAGTGATAGGTTGGGTATTCAAATTTTATTAATAACAAAAATTTGAATAATAAACTATATAATACTTATATTATAACAACTGTTTCTAATAATTAAGTTAAGATATCTGTATTACAATTACACCAACATAATTGACTAGTTATGAAGTATTTGTATAAATATAGTATTATATAGAGAAATGCAAACTAATATAAACTCTAAATAAATATTTGTAATTATATAAATCTGTTAAAATTAGAAACCAAAAAATTTATTTGAAATGACCTGAATAAAGAGATAACAAAGATTCTTTAATAGTACTACTATAAAAAATAGTTTTAGAAAATAAATACTAATGTTAAAGTATCTAAATAGACAAAAACTTTTGAGTAAACATATCATTAACTAGGCTACTGAAACAGACTAAAAAAAAAGATATTTGGCTAACTTAATATATTAATAAACTGATTATAATTTAACTAGACTATCTGAATTAAAAGTCTGAAGAACAGAAAGGAGTATACTAAAGTAATTCAGATATGCTGTAAAGTAAATATTAAGATTCAAGTAAACTTTACAAAGACATAACAATTTAAAGACTAGCTCTGACTATAAGTATTAGTTTTACTATAATAATACTAGATCAGTTGTAAAAATAAGTATAAAAAACTTTGAAAGGTTTGCCTTAAAAATAAAATAATCCTAAAATTGAAATAATAATCTGAATATAATCCAGTAATGTTAATATAGGTGCAGGTTCAAAAGGTTTAAAATAGAATATCTAAGCAAAGATATTTGATATAGTAATTAATAAGAACCCTTTAAGTAGACTTCTTAAATAAGTAATATAGAAAAGTTACATATATAACCAATTATGAGTTTAATTTTGTTTTAGTTTATAAAGAATAGTGTAAGTTAGATCATAGAATTTTTATATAAAAACTTAATATTAAGTCTATTATTATATACTCTTTTTGTAATGGTTTATAGAATTATATTACCAAAAAAAGCATTAATAAAAATTAAAAAACCAAAAAGGTCATCTTAACACCAAAAAAATAAATCTAATATACTTAATTTTATTTAAGAAATCTGAATTTCTGATAAAAAATATTTTATATTCTATACAATTCTCAAAAAATACTTATAATTATTCATAAATAAATTTAAATAGGTATATTAAAAACTTGCATTGTAAATAAAAACTTAAATAAAAAAAATTTGAGTAATAATTTTTTCTAAATATATGAAAATACAATATACATATCAAATTGCCTTATTTGAACCTTTTTTATATTTTTAGTTTTAAAAAAAATTTATAATAAATAGATTAAAATATTAAATATAATTCAATATTTACTTATATGCCATTGTAAAAAAAACTTTAAAATTTAGAAAAACACAAATTAGAGTAATACTTATCATTATCTGCAAATTTAAAAAAAGATCTTTATATAATACTTGTTTGAAACTTTTATACTTATTGAAACTAATTTAATAACAAAAATTTAGAATACTATTTCAATATACATGTCTGTGAAAAAAATATAAATTATGAGATTATTAAAAAAAGAGATCAAAAGCTTTGATTTTTTCTTTAATTATGTGTAAGGATATTTTTTTTTAATCTATAAATTTTTGATGTCAAGATCAGTAAATATATGTTTTATTACACATTTTGTATACATTTTGCAAACTCCTGCAAAAAGTGCAATTAATTGATTAATTGTGACTGTGTCACTAATTAATTAATTGAAATCAAATAATTGTAATTAATTGATTAAGATCAAATAATTGCAATTAATTGCCTCCACAATTAAATTTTCAGTACGTCTGTATACAAGAGATAGTGTGTTAGTAAGCCGTATAAGAAAATTAATGACAATTAAAAAGAAGAATACGTACCTTTAACTTCAATTTCACTCGCCAAATATAACCGCCTCTATCAACTAAGTCATTCATAGATTACATGATGTCTCAGACAAACTCGCCGTTTGGAGTTGCATGTAAACTATGCGGGTCCTGGAATTAAGGTTAAAAATTACGCCAACTTTCTAGAATTAAGGTTAAAAAATTACACAACCTATTTAATTATGATACATACAAAATTGTAACATAATTTTATGGTATATATAGTTGGGTGCCTTAATTTTCCCCACAACTTCACTATAGGAGAGCTATAAATTTGATTAATAACACACATATGTGAATAATTATTAGTACCATCAAAGTTGTGAAGAAATTAGTAAATTCTACATAGCTATTATATACCGGTTATCTCAGATCATGCGATATAACTTTAATAAATATTATTTCATTACAGCATTCTAAGTTAGAATTAATGAAACGATATTCATTAAAATCATATCGCATAATCTGAAATAAATTTATGAATTTTACCAATTCTATTTTACCAACACGATAAAAGTTTGGTCTGTATTTCAGTATTTGCTTGCTTTCACATATTTTTCAAAAACTGTCAGCAGTAAAACCATCTGATTCCTCTAAAAAGTAGCTTATTAATTTGATCCATAATATAGCTCGGCTTTTAATCGGCCCATGTTGTAATTTCGGCAGCAGGTCTTCATTAATAACAATTAAAAATGATTTCGTCGCAAGTGGGGTAAAGTTGATGTCAAAGTGGATTAATTGTTGATGATATTTGTTAATTTGGATTTCCAAATTTTTTATTATGTCTTTCTGGTTGTTGCAAAGTGCATCGGTTAATGCTTTTCTAATTGTTCCGTCCGGTCAAGTTGCAAAGTGCATTAGCTAATACCTTTCCATCTGATCCGGGATAAGATCAAAAAAGTCAAATATAGAGACTCCTTCGATAAGTTAAGGATTAGGTATACTCGATTTTCTCTAAAAAAATTCTTTACCGAAAGCGTGTATATAAATAATTCTTATTCTTTTAAAGAGCGCTATTTGTTTTTTTTAAAAAAAACGTGAACATTAAAATAATTTTTTTTTTAAAAAAATTCGTAAACTAAATCTTTGAAATTCGTTGTGCTAGACTATCCAATAAAAGCACGATCACGTGAGGAAGTTTTTTTGTGGGAGATCTACAGGCGTTGTCAAACATATACGTAAAATCCATTACTTTTCCTATACTATCTATAGAGCTTTACCCTTTAATGATTTGTGATATCTGAATGTAGGGTACAACTTTGTGACATTCTTAACCTGTTGCTTAATCAAGGAATATTGTTAATATATATTAATTACTAAAACTGGATTAGCGTAGATCTGTCGATCAGTCGGTCGAAGGTTTTCCCGGTGTTACGATATAAATAAAGGCTATAACAAGAAATGGCGAAAATAAAGAAAATTATAATGAGAAGGAATTAAAAATGATTAAATACTAAGGTGTAGATAAGTTGCCGAGGTAACACTAAGTCGAAAACCTGAGTTATAACCATGACGCAACTTGACTCGCATCACCAATTTGATAATGATATGTAAAAGGTAATTCGGAATAAACCTCAATTTCTAATTTGAAGACCATTAGACGGATATATGTACTCAAAAATCGGGTTAACACTTTAAAAATTTTTAATTTTTTATAAATGTTTAGAGTTTATTAAGTGGTTTGTTTATCCAGGTTCATGAGTTGACTGTATATCAAAGGCACAAATAAAAGATAAAATCACTGCAAATGCAACAATTCCGACAAAGGTACATGATTAAAAGTTTTTCGAACTTTTATTATCGCAATTCAGTGTAATTTTGTGTATGCAATGTTTTTTGTTTGGATTTTATTGCTACAGTCAGCAATGATTAGTACCAATGTTTAGCACGTGTTACCAATACAATTATAAGATTCTTGCAAATTTGAATAACATTGATGACAAATTGGAAAAGTATCAATGGATTCATCTTTTATCGATTAATTTAGATATATTATTAATGAAATTCTGCGTGTAATAGAACAAGATCTGCCTTGGATGAATTTGAAGATGCAAAATACATTGAAGAAAACTAGAAATGGTCGTGATTCAAATATCTATTACTGAAAATACCAATTTTGTTCTTGAAATTACTAGCGCAAGTAAATTAAATGCAATGAAATTATATAGTACTTTGGATGGATCTATTAAAGATTTTTTTGATTTATGTGATAATTAAAAAATTGATGAAATTAAATAAAACTTATTGAATGGGATAAATCTCATTATGCAAAAATAGGCTTACTCTTTCATTCAACCAAATTTCTTTTTATCGTATAGAAATGGACCAACCTTACCATTATCTATGGTTTACTTTTTTCTTGTTCAGAAGACTTTCATTGGGTAAGTAATTAGGTGAAAATTTTTTAGCAAAGGAAAAAGTGCAAAAAAAAGAAAAAGCAGAAAATTCGAGTTTAAACTATTTTGGCGAACTAATGAATAATACCAGGAGTAATTTACCTATAATACAATAACCTAATCTTAATCCCAAACTTGCTATAACCTGATGTAAAATTATTAATAATGTACGACATTTCTATCATGTACCGTCTAGTTATTGTAATTTGTCTACATAACTGATTTTTAGGCGATACTAGGATGGTTCTGTATCATGGCCTGACTGTACTAAAAAAGCATTGTAAATCAAAATTTCAAAAAACAAACAAAACTAACCAATTATAAATTATAGAGTGAAATGAAACCGCACGGATGTACGTGCGTACCAGAACTATTCCGTACGACCACATCAAAGCCTTTGTCGATACTTGTATATGCATGTGGATTACCATAATAAGTGAAGAAAACATTCAACGTCAACGCTAAACGGTTGAAAAATATTGTTATATATTCACTACAACACACCAACATTTCAATATGAATTGGTTTCAGAATGTTATGCTTCTTTTTCATATTAAGTTTGGTATTCTCTTATGTGATCTGTAAACCTGACCCTCGATATTTACAAACTAGTGCATTGGTTGATACTAAGCTTTATTTCTTTGGTGGATATCTTTTAACTAATTCCAATTTCACTAATGAAGTATGGTATCTTGATTTATCTGACATATCCAAAGCTTCATGGCATAAAGATACTGGCATGCCAATAGGGTATATTCTTGGTACTACTTGTGTTAGTCCTATTGATAGTTCTACTGTATTTTTGATCGGTGGAAAGATGATTAATCTCATTCAAGAACATTATGAATCTTCAGATGTATATATATTTAATCCTCAAAATTCACAATGGTCAACACCTGAAATTAGTTTTAGTAATATTTCATCGGCACGTATGGATATATCGGCTGTTATTAATAACGATGGAAAAGTTTTTATTTATGGAGGAATTAGTTCTAACACAGCAGCTTGGTTTGATGATATGATTATATTAGATACTATTACTATGGTTTGGTCAGGATTGTCTCAATCAAATATTTCTAAATATGCTGATTACACTGCTACATTATTACCAACTGGTCTTATCATTTATATTGGTGGACGTTATGACGGCAAGAAACCTTTAGTTAAAATGAATAATGTATGGTTTCTTATTCTTTTTAATTTGTAGTTTTTTAAAGACTTTATTTAAAAAAGGCAATAATTAAAATTGATTACAGATTTTAACATTTGACACAAAAGCTTTAAGTTGGTCAAATAAAGTAAGTAACTATTAAATATAATTACAATAATGATATTATACTTAATTATTATGAATATTTTTGTGCTTAATTTAGACTGCTGGTGGTGACTCTGTTGGAGCTCGCGTTGGCCATTCAGCTGTTTTAAGTATGTATGTTAAAAACGATAAAATATTATAATACATTTTCAAATTTTTAGTAATTTTTTTTTGGTTACCACGAATTTTTCAATAGCTCAAAATGAAACTATCATTATATATGGAGGTACATCAGATACTAGTAACATGGGACCGCGTGCGCTTCCTGATATTGCTGTACTAGATATAAATACGTGGGTATGGTCTAATCCAGTGATTTCTCAAACAAATGCACCACCATCTCTCACATGTCATTCTGCTATGATATATAGCAATTATATGATTATTTGTTTTGGTAACTATTTAAGAAATTAAGTCTATGTCTTTGCATAAGAAATTATATGCTAAAGTTAATTACTATATATTTATGTTTAGGCCGGATCACATCTACGTCTGCTGTTAGCAGTAATAATCTAACACTCAACAATAATTTTTATATTCTTGATACACAAAATTACATCTGGATTCCAACAATAGAGACTCCAAAAACGTTTAATAATATATTTTTTATCGGAATAGGTGTTGCATTTGCGGCGATTTTATCATTTATTAGTGCTTTTGTATATAAAATTAAAATACTAAATCGATCTCAAAAAACGATACCAATACCCGACACAATGGACAAAGAGGTGATTTGATGTAGTGTTGAGCAATCTAAGGTTATACTTTTATAGATACACTGTCTCTCATTATTATAAATTGCTATTAATAATTTTTTTTAACCGAATCTATGCCTGTAACTTATTCTATTTTATAGTAACAGTTTTAGTTTTTATCTTTATTACTAAATCGTGTCTTAATGCGTATTATATTAAATTACATAATTTTATTAGAAATTGCTTTTTATATAATTTTGATTAATTATTTTACTTATAGATTCCATAAATATTGCATCATAAAAAAATCGGTTAATTAAAATTTTTCAAAAATTTATATATTAACTGATATTCAAATTTAAATATATTATAATTGAAGGTATAAGTTTTATAATATTTAAAGTTCAAAGGTACGCGTTTATTGGATCTCGAAATATTGTAATTCAATTTTTTTTTAAATGGAACAATAATAATGAGAAACAGTGTATATAATACATATAATACATCAAATAATACATCAATTGCACATAAAAACCCTAATTCACATAGAAATCTTAATTATAATTAATGAGAATAACCCGACTAGAATTATATATTAATTATAGTAGTCAATCGAGCCGAATAAGTATATTGGCTGATTTGGATAAGGAAGCCCAATCTCTCCAGGTTAGGGTGCGTCTATTATATATAATTCCATATGTCTAATGAAGGGCGTCACTGGGAGATTGGATTTCTTTATCAAAATCAACACATGGCACCTTTTTTAAAAATAAAATCTTACCGTACATAGAACTTGTAATAGTTTATAATGCATTAAATTTTTAGCATTTTTATATAATAGTTTTTGTTTATGAAAAAGAGGCAATTTTACAAGTAGACTAACACAAGAATTTATTTAGAATTCATCGGAGATGAAATTTACCACTATATATACTGTAAGGCCCAATAACGTGACGTAATACTCTGCCGGGACCTCACGTGGGAGAGGGTATGGCGATCAATTCCTTGATATGGATATTGTGAGCTATGGAGACGTGATCCCGGAAGCACGTGGAAGGAGGAAATCGAGGTGGCGCAGTAATAACTAACGGCTATGTCGATCACCTACCTAATATGGGCTTCCCGGGATTATCACTCCTAAAAGTCATTAGCAGATGCAAGGGTAATAGTAGCGATAAGGGTTTTAAGAGGAAACGGTAATTAATGGGATATACGGGAATTAAGAGTTTTAAGTAATAAGGGACGTTAAAGGGATATAAGGGGGATAGTACGATTAATACATTTAGTACCTTAAAGGACGCATATGTGATATAACAATATATAATAAAGGCTTCGAGCCTTACAAGAGGAGTTCAGTTAGTGCTTACCATAAAATTTCGCCCCTAATAATTCTCTGTTTCATTATATTATAAAAACCCACGATCATAAATACACCACTCGCCAAATCTAACCGCCTCTTATCGACTAAGCCGTTCGTAGGTTACACGACGTGTCCATCTGTTAAGCGACTGACTCGCCGTTTCGCCAGTGTCAATATCTCGGCATTAATTCGATTAATTAAATATATCAAGGAAAGGATATTTAATGGCGAAGGGGGATTTAATCATTATAAGGGTTTATGTTAATAAATTGGATTAAATAGAGAAAGGGTAGAAGGAATTTTATGTAACTAATTAAGTCATAATTGAAGCTTAATATAAATAAAGGCCGAAATGGCCCTTAGAGGCGATAATGCTTCGTTTGCTTTATTAAGTAGCAAGTCCCAATACATTATATCGTCCATAATAAAACCCTAACACTATACCCAGTATAAAACCTGTAAACCCCTATAAACATCGTCGTTCATTCAAGTTCTTGTTCACGTGACTTACCTTGTATTCGTTGACCCAAAGTAACCGAAAGCCTTAATCACCCACCAGCCAAATCTAACACCCTCTTTCGTAAAGGTTACCTATCGTACGTTACACGAGATTTGGAATTGTGGAGCGATCGAGTCGCAGTTTTCCGAACCCAACAATACTATATATTTTATCATCAAAAAATTTATGTCTCAAACCTTAAATTTAAAATTAAGCCTTAGTGTTAATATTAGAATTCGAGGTTTTTAATGCACAAATTAAAATATCGCATGTTCCAAAATTTCGACAAAAATTGACCTGATTTATGGTTAACGTTAATATAGTGCGGGATAACTTGTCTTGTTCCCGGTTTGGAAGTAACTAAGTATTGCTAACAATTTTGGGAGAGCTATCGTTATTATACGTTGCAGCCAGACTTAGCAAGAATTGTAACCATAAAAAACAATTAGAGCAAGCAAAAGCGATCATTGCATAAGTGACCTTATTATGTGATTAGTTTATTACAGTATTAAAGAGAAAAAGAAAGATAAAGAGTGCCTTCTAATATTAGCACATTTACTGTTGTTAAAAAGAAAAGAATATCATTACCGTATTTCTGAAATAATGCATGGGTTTTTTTATTTCGAATAATAGCAGAATTAAGGCATTAATTCGAAACTACTCCCTGCGTGTTATTTCGCGAAAATACAATACATAAAATTAAGCAATCCTTTCTAGCTAGAAGAAAAATGGATGAAATATAAAAATTATTAAAAAAATATTGCTATTACAGTACTAACAACACGAGGAACCGTCGATGTTACACGACTGATCCTTCACCCGGTGTGCAACATATTAAAAAAATTATTTTACAATACCAGATCATTCTGCTATTATTATAATCCCACACCATTTTATTATAAAAAAAAATGGTGCCCTGTAAAAAAATATGATATTGTTGCGTTCGGAAGATTGCGACTCGGTTTCTCCACAATCCAAAATCTCGTGTAACGTACGATAGGTAACCCTTACGAAAGAGGGTGTTAGATTTGGCTGGTGGGTGATTAAGGCTTTCGGTTACTTTGGGTCAATGAAGACAAGTAGGGAAAGTCACGTGATAAAGAACTCGGGAGTTTTATGAATTTTACAGGGTTTGTACTGGGTATAATGTTAGTATTTTATTATAGATAATATAATGTATTGGAACTTGTAATTTAATAAAGCAAATGAAGCATACTGCTCCTAAGGGCCATTTCAGCCTTTATTTATAATACTAACTTTGTCACTTACAAATGTGATTTTACACTTATTATCTATTAAAACTAATTAAAGTTATTTACACATATTTATTTACTGTTCTTTATTTCCTCTTCTTATTTCCTATCTACCTCTTTGGATCTGAAATACTGTTTCTGATTATAAATATAACTTATTGCACTTATTGCATTTCTGGAGAGTCTACGGACATGTACTGATCATGTGATATTTAGCATTATGGACATGTACTGATTATGTGATATTAATTATTACATAATTATTTTATGAAGTAGCAAACTCAAACAAAAATGTATTTTTTACTTTAATTATCTATATCAATCAATCCAAGCTATGTACAATAAGGCACATTGATATAATAATTGAAAATGACTTATTGTCTAATGATAAGGTAATCCAAAACCTGTTAGATCTTTTTTGACAAGATAATTTTAACATCCTTACTCAGGATTCATAATGATAGCTGTAAGTCAAAAATATGAAATGAACAATACAAATTTTAGATAATTTTTAAATATAAAAATGAAATTGTCAAATTTTATGTCAAACAATGATGTTACAACCAATATCAGCATAAAATTTGTAATGAGTTTCTTTATAATTTTATATTTGACAATACTAATATTGATTAATTTGTCTTTTTTTATATGTATTGAACATTAAAAGTCATATAGTCTATTTTGAAAACTAGCCAATAGACCATGCTATGGATCAGTTTATAGACTGATCTTTAGGACCAAGACTAGACTGAGTCATCTTATAATAAGGCATTTTCAATCACTGTCTTATTGTATGCAGTTTAGATTGATTGATTAGTTAATTAAAGTGAAGTCTTCGATAATTGTACTTTTATTTGAGTTTGACATTTTATAGAAAATAGTTATATAATAAATTAATATCACATAATCAGTACATGTCCATAATACTAAATATCATGTGATCAGTACATGTCTGTAAACTCTCAAAAAGTTTATAGACAGTGCTTAGAATAAAGTGTTCAGGATTATGTTACAAAGATGGTCAAAATATGCATATAACAAGTTGTAAATTATGCAGAATTATGCAAATTTTTGACCAAAATTATGTATATATTATGTGCAATATTAAAAATTATGTAAAATATATAATTTTAAATTTTATTTGTTATTATTAGTGCTCTGATTGAAATATATCATATTTAACATTTTAATTGTTTCAGAAATAAGTACATGCCAGTTATCAGCTAAAATATTTTTGTATACAGAAAAATTACATTTGACATCAATACAGAAATTGGAACCCAAATATACTTTAAAACAATTCTACTTAAAGAAGATAAAAGAGAAGTTTTTTTAAGCAATATTTCTCTAAATTAAAACCTAATTCAAAAATTTTATTTCCACTACAATATATTTTCCATTTATGAATTAATTGATTATTTGGTTCATTGAATTCTGGAATTACTGAATATAAAAAAAGACTTTTCCTAGTAGCTTATTAATGAATTCATCAAGACTCAAAACATTGAATAGCTTTAAATAGAATAAGTTCTAAATGATCTATAATATGCTTATTAAATTTGCTTAATGCTAATTCAAAAGCTTCACAAAACATAGCTATATAAGATTTAGAATTAATATTTTTTGTAATAAATTCATCCTTCATTTGAGTATTAAAAAGCAGATTAATTGTTCCATTTTCTAAAAATGCTTGGGTTTGTTCTATATAAGATATAATGTATGAAGCAATAGGTTTGTTTTGAATCTCAAAAAATTTTAAATCATTTACAAGTCTAAAATAAAATATTATATAAGTATTTAATTAATAGATAATTTAATAATTTATATATTATATATATGATTGTGCATTAAAAGTTATAAACATAATAATTATTTTTTAAAAAAATAAATGTTTATAATCTTGAAATAATTTATTTAACTCTTAAAGTGTATTATTTGTTTTGTTACCTGCTAGATTAATTTCATCAGAAATAAAATTTGAAAAAAATCCAAATAAGGATGCAACCAAAAAATAAAACAAAATCAGAAATTCCACTTGGTATTTATAAAAAGTGGTGAAAGAGTAGAATGAAGATTATTTGATATATTTGATGAATTTTCTAAATCAATTTGTTTTTATCTATAGGTATAAAATTTGAATTTGATATAGTATTTAGTGACAAATATTCAAACCATCTTCTTTTACATTCAGAAGAGTAAATAAAAATTTCTTTAAGATTATTAACTACACTATCTAATCCTTTAAAATTCTTATAAGTAATCTATGTTTTGCCTACTAAACTGTAAATATACACTAAACATCTATTATGTCTCAAATGAGAAATTAAAAAAAAAAGAATGTCAAATGCTTTTTTCATATAGGAGATATTATTAAAGATAAAAAGAATAGTATTATCAAATAGAATATTATAAAAATAGAGAGTATCTATAGTAAGGTGAGCAATTATACTATCATTAACTTTTATTAAATAAGAAGTTTTAATAAGTTTAGTTTTATTTTTAAAACTAAACAATATATTAACAACATTTTTTCTACACATAATTGTTTCATCCATTGTAATAGAAACATATTGATTATTAAGTTCTTGATATAAACTTTGTTTTGTTTGTACAAAAGCTAATAGAAAATATTTATCTTGTAACTATTAGAACCAACAATATCATCAACTATTAAAACTTAAATATTAGTATATATATTATAATAAATATTAATAATAATGATTCTGATATAATACTAACCTTAATTATAATATTTATTTAAAAAAAATGTCTTTAACTTGTCAACCTTTTCCAAAAGGATATCAATTGCAGTTAAAGCATTTATAAAATTAATAATAAGTTGTACATATTCAGTAAGTACTTTATTATATAAAATAATAGTAATTTGTCATATTTGTTAAGAAAAAGTTTTTTCAAGTTCTAAATTTGATTTGTGCTGTTTTGACTTATAATAACTATCAATAACTAATTTATTGATATGTTCAACAACAACTTTACAAATATGACAAAAAAGTTTGTCACTGTCAGCATAAAACACATCTTTGTATTTTTTTGCTTGAGTATGTTCAATAACTGATACATCTATTTTTAAGTAGCAAAGTAGAATAATAAGATAAATGATTAAATCAATATGAAAATCACTTCCATGCAATATTATATATATTAGTTTTTTAACAAATAAAATTATTAATACTAAATCTGCACCAAATTAAATCATATTACCAATCAATATATTGTTAAATTCTAAATTTATTCATAAGTATTATAACTGTTATCAAACTTAACTATTATTTATTAAAGAATAAGATTTGTTAAATAAGAGTAAATAAAAAATTAAAAGACTAAATTAAAATAATTACCTTTAGTAACAGTAACTATAGTAATCTATTCTATACTATTATTTATAATAAACCTTATTTATTATTTTATTACTATAATTCTATACAAATTGGATTCTAATATATAACTTCTAAAATTTTTCTAAATTAAAATATCAGTTAAAATAATTATTTATATTGTAATTAACAGTATCCCAATAAAATTATATAAAATAAAATTTCACTTATACAAATTAATTTACTATGCATCTAAAATGATTGTAAAATATTTTGATGCTTCATTTCTTCTAAGATGTTTAATACAGATTTAGGGTTTGTATATCAAATATCTATTTCAATTGGTTAATAACTAACCTAAAATTAATTAAAATTATATTCTCAACATTAATTCTTAAGTGTGTATGACTATATTATAAAGAAAAGATACAAATTTCAAAGTTACTTTAACAAGTTCTCTTTATATCAAGACTGTAGTTTTCTTATACAAAGCAAATTATCTAATCATCCAGTTTTTTTTTAAATAAAAAATTTAATCAAATAGTATATTATTTTTAAAAATTCAGATTAAAAACCAAATCCATATTTATAATAAATTAGTAGGATTTAATTTTTATAAAAAAATAACTAAAGATAATGAAGCACCAACCTTGTAAATTACTATATAACAGACTTCTGAAGCTTTTTATAGTAAGAACCACCAGTCTCTTATAAAAGAGTTAACTGTAGTTAGATTTTAACAAAAGTAATAAGGTTCATATATATATGCAAGAGAGATTATGTATATGCTATAAGTAGAAACAGATTCTGAAATTCTTTGAATTTGCTTAAATTATTTTTTCATTCTACCACAATTATTGTCAAGCAATTTCATTGGATGCATAATTGTAAAGTACAAAATTATGCAGGGACTTATGCTTTAAATCTTGAATTATGCAATTATGTGCGATACATAATGCATATGCGGTATAGGCAAAATTATGCGCATATTATGTCACAACATAATCCTGGACATCCTAGCTTAGGGACAGTGCAAAATCATGTGTTTAAGTTGTGATTGGTCATTTAGTGGTTAGGGGAAAGGACTTTCTTATTATATCATGTGATTGTACTGTCCCTAAGCACTGTCTGTAGATGACATGACCAGGGTAGCCATTGAAATTGCGGGTTGCGTGATCAACACCACTGTTGCAGCTTCACAAATTTGATCTTATTACAAGCAATTTTTTGTTCACAATACAAGTCACTCTTATTCTTGATAATTTACAATAATTCATCTTTTTTGGCAATTTTTCTGGTCTTTTATAATGACATCATTCGAATTACCTTTTCTTCAAAGTAAACTGAATCATGTCCTTAAAAGAACTCCACAAAGAAATTTTTGAACATAATTAGAATCTTGATATACACAATCAAGATCAGTATCTTTGAGACAATTAATGACTTTGTTAATTAGTGGTCATTCTTTAGGATTAGGATTCCATAAATAACAATAAAGTTCTTTGTAATCTACAGAAGTTAAATTAACAGAATCCTCTCTATTTCAAGAGCTAGAAAAGCTTTTAATTTTTTTGTGCTATTTAATTTAAATCTATTGCAAAAAGGAGGCTTGCCACTTGATATTTACTCCTAAATTATAAATATCGAAAGATTTATCATTTATTATTATTAAGCATGAGATTAAAGAATTTCAGATCTACATAAGTAACATTTTCTTCAGTAATCTTAAAAGTAGTTTCTATTTGACTAGGTTCTATTTAGAGGTGCAGGTGAATTGTCTCAATGATATTACAGCTTAAGCTATAACTAAGTTCTATTAGACTTTTAATAAATATAAATGAGCAAAAATCTATAATCATAAATTTATCATAGTGGTCATAGTATATTATATTTTTTGAGTTCTATTAATTTAATATTGGCATAAAAATATTATTATTGAAGAGTGTCAATTGCATATAACAAAATCCCTTCTAATTGGTATACTAACAGGTCACAATGTCTATGGCATCATGAACTCTCGATATAGTGTGAAGGCTAATTAAAATCTTATTATAGTGAAGTTAAGTTCAAAGTAGTAATGCCTGACAAAACCTAACAAAACCATAAGTTTCGTTTGTTATGCATGTTTTCTGTAATGTTCATTGTGTTATGAAGCCTTTGTAAATTGTATTTGTTATACGAGTCTTATTTTCTAGATATGATTAATGTGTAATTCATTTATAATTGTTATGATACAGGTTATTTAAGTTGGATTGATCTAAATTAGCCTATTACACTTACTAACTAATTACTATAGACTTTAATAGCAACACAATGCATATAATTGTTATGGTATTTAAATTTTCTTCATTTTGAATAAAGTAAGATTGAATAAAATTAAGTTAATCAAGTTTGCCTAATATCTATGCATTATATAATTAATATATTAAAAATGTAATTATTATATGAGTGATTTAATTTAATTCAATCAAATTTGATCTGCTAGACTAGCCATCGTAGTAATCATTTATTAGACAGCTATTTTATAAAATTATGTATTTGTTATGTAATGCACTAAATTCTGCTATTGTTATGCAAGTGGTTATTTCATTATTTTAAATAAATTAACACAATATATTTGGCAGTAAGTTATCATGCTAACAATTAAAATGTTAAATAAGTCAAACAAAAATTATAAAAACTTTGTTTTGACGATTGTTTTTTTTATTATTAAAGTTTTTGCCTTTGTCTCGATTGTCTTAGTAACAAAATAAACATATATCAGTTGTTTCTAATAAATATCAAATACAATCTATGATGAAATTTAAAATTTTTAAAAGAACAGTTTGCATTGATATAACATACCTTATCATATTCAAGCATTATCAACACTTATAATCATACAACCATGTTCTGTTCAAGTTGCAAGTATGATTATCCCAAAGATCAATTCATTTGGGAGGCATTCGACATAAAACTTGTGTAAAATAAAAAAAAGTCATGATCAAAAAAAACAAGAAAAACTGTCAGTTTCAATCACAAACTCAACTATCAAATCAGTTGAACAACCTGAAAATATCTGGTATGATACTATTCAAGAGGTAAATGTTAATGTTGCATATATCGAGATAGACTGTCTAAATATAGGGAATCTCATTAAATATGAAATCAAAAAAGTGACAGCCAATGAAAACAGCACGACCAATGCAGTTTATCAAGCCCATTTGTTAGTAAATGTAGATATAACTTTGAATATAACAGCTAAAGATGTTGCTGCTCTTGTTGTTACCGAAATAGAAGATGGTAATGATTATTCATAGAAGTATGTATATTATAAAAAAACTTTTTCACTTTTTCACTTTTTTTGTCTCTAAATACTTACTAGCATAGTTTTCTGCATGCCAAAATGTCAAAAAAATTCAATGACAAGGTTGGTAAGTTCTACTATATATGCTGTCAATCATATAAAGCACAAAGAAAGTATACGGATTCAAATCGTAAACAGCAAACACATTACAATTGCAAGGGAAAAATTGTAATAAAAGTAGACATGGATCTTGAAGTTGCTATAATGGATATTTATTATGGACTTCTCTATCTACGTTTAGACCTTTGTTCTGAAATGCTCATCGAATTGCATGAGGAAATTGAGACGAATGTACATCTAACTACTATGGAACTTACAAATCATCTATAATGCCAGGGGTTTGATATTTCTAAATATTCACCAAAGCAAATTTATTTTTGAAAATCTATAGCAAGTAGAAGCCTTTTTTAATGTCATGATAATTATGTAAAGTCCACATGTATGTTTCTTGAGGAGTATCATGACTAGAGCTTTTATCAGTGTCTTGATATGCCAAATTCAAAATCCATTGCAATTGCATTTATCATCCCACTACTAAATGAAATTAATAATTTCAACATTGACATTAGTAAAATTTATATAGACACTATCTATAAAACAGCAAAAGAACATTATAAGTTATATGATATAATAATAGATGTAAATGGAACTGGATTTCCAATAGCTTATCTAGTATTAAATATAACAAAAGCAACAGATTCAAGTACTAGTGTAAGCAAGCACAGTGAAATATTAAAAAAAATTTTTGAAGTTGTGAAAACACATGGTATTAATCTGTTTTTTATATTTACGGACAAAGATTTCACAAAAATTAATGTCATAATAGCAGTATGGGATCCATCAGTAGTACAATTATGTGCTTGGCATATTAACCAGGCCCTAAAATTTAAACTTAAGAAGAAGGTTAAACAGTTGAGTAATATGGAATTATTAACTGTAAATTACGATTCTAATAAAGCATCAAAGGAGTTTAACTTCATAGATCTGACTTTCTACCCAACTGATGAAGATCAAAACATATATATATATGTTATTTGCTCACAGGTGCACCAAGAGACAATTTTGGAGCTGGTACAAAAACATTTCGACTTATATTCACTTATACCAATTGATGATCAAGGAAATGTTTCGACACCAAAAAATATTAGACGAAATGCAGTAAAGGAGATGTATCAATTTTGTGTTATGAATACACTGCAGCTGTTATGGGCTTACCTATGGACCAACTGGTATTCCTCATGATGGTGGCACCTGTGGGCATGATCAGCTAAACCCATAATACCTTTAAGCAAAACAATCATAAAAATTGAAGCACACTGGAGTGTTATAAAGTGACATTACCTATATCAATTTAATCGATCTAGATTAGATTTGCTTCTTTGGACACTCTTTAAAGACGTAATTCCAACTCAAAAAAAATGATTCTCTCAGCTTTTAAGTGGTATAGTAGAACCTTAGTGATGAAATGATTTTAAAAGAGTGTGAAATTATGTTAATGCAAGTAAGGAACAATGAATAAAAATGCATAATAATAATAAATTCAATAAAGATAAAAGAAAACAAGACACTGATATAAGAACTACAGAACCTGTTAGATCATACTTTACTGATAGTACTTACTAGGTCTGTAGTTGCTCTGCCTTTTTTAGTAACCATTTCTTAGTCTGTAAACATCTGATTCAAAAAGTTACAAATCTACCTAATGGAGATTGTCAACAGTTGATCAGAAGTGATTTTGAACATTACACAACACCTCCATTTCTTATTATTAAAAATTTTAATAACACCATGACAAGTGCCTTTGTACCATCTGCCTTGCCAATATCACCTGCGATACCAATCGAAACCCATGATTTTTTTGATATATCTTATGATAAAATTCATGGAGATGATGCTTGTACCTCGTTGAATCAAACTGGCCTTTGTTTGAACATGTATTCAAATGAGCCTATACAGAAAAATTAGCTCATAATTGGAATTATGTTCGTGCAGTTATGAAGTCTAGTAAATTATTGGATATAAAAAAAGAAGTGCAAACAGTTGAATGAAAGAAACATTAGCAAAAGACATGGGCTCCTGAAAATAGAAAACTATACCTAATGTACCTCTTATTTCTAGATGTAAATAGTCAGGAAGATGAACTGACTCTACTAGAAACAAATAATAATTAGCATCTTCTATTATTAGTTGTAAGCCTCTTGTAAAATCTTATTTCATTTTGCTAAAACATAATAAAATAATTTAATCCAGGTCTCACCTTGATCTATATCATATAAATAGTTTAGTTAAAGGAATAAATTAGCAGTTTTTTAAAGTTTATTAATGATACATAAGAATGTGAAAAGAAATCGATGCTTTCATCATCGTTATTAAAAATTTGTATTAATTAAAAAATATCAACATAATTATATCATATGATAATGCTAAAAATCTTTATTGGTCTGGTCCAAATGATGATTAGACCACCTGCAGCTGCGGCAGTGGCATTTATCATGTGACTTGTAATTTCGATGGCCACCTTGGTCATATCGTCTGTAGATTCTGCAGTTGCATTTTGTGCATTTTTCACGTGATTGGTCACGACATTCTGGTTTCACAATAGCCAACTTGTTCCGAAAATATCCAGAATTTTTTTATTCCTAAAATTTCAGGTTTTTTCAAGTTCGTACTCAGGAAATTTTTTTAAAAACACTAGGTAATAATCATGTTTTCTTTCAGAAAATGGCAATTTGCAAACATTTATTAGCATTAATGTTCCAAAAGCATTCTGGATATATGCCTAAAAATCATAGCAATATTCATTAAACAGTGGCACATTTGATATATAAAATAGGGCCAATAATCGAATTATTTTGTGATTGCTTTACATATAATTTGGAAATAACATTTCCTAGTAATCGGGTACTTTCACAAGTATCTTAATAGTGAAATCAGACGTTATGGTGAGTCAGTCACTCCACAATCCAAAACTTCATGTTACCTATGGTTGGCTTAGTCGAAAAGAGGCGTTTAGATTTGGTCGGTGGTTTGGGTCCGTAGGTAAGTATTTCTTCTTTACTTG